AAAATGTTGCCCCCTCTGGGCAGCCTTCTGGAGCCTTCAGTCCTGGCAACACTGATGTCTCCATTCTCTGTGCTCCTACCATAGCTTGAGAGAAAAAAATCCCACAGCTTTATCCCCATTTCAGGATAGTCGACTGGCTGCATGGTTGTCTTACTTGGTAGACACCACCAGGGCATTTAAAAGGATGCTCAGGTTTTTCAGTTAGACAAGCACAAGCTCCCATTTCTGCCTCTTGCCAGCTACCAGTTAATGTCCTGAACTAGCCCTGATGACCTAGTGGTTAAAGTTCGACGCTCTCACTGCTTCGGCAGCTCGGGTTCATTTCCCAGTCTCAGAACCACACCACTCATCTGTCAGTTGCCATGCTGTGGCAGTGGCTCACATAGAAGAACTAGAAGGACTTACAACTAGGATATACAGCCATGCACTGGGGGCTTTGGGGAGAAAAAAAAAATGAGGAAAATTGGCAACAGATCTTAGCTCAGGGCAAATCCTTCTCTGAAAAAAGATGTCCTTGGAACTGACTTTCCCTCCTGGGTCTCAGTTCCTCATATGTAAAATGGCCATAAGAATGCCTCCCTCACAGTCGGCAAGGGGCTTACATGAGACAATGTAAACTGCTCAGAACAAGGCCTTGCACACAGTAGGTGCCCCAGGAACCACAACCCTCTTTCTTTTTCCTCTCCTCACCCTCTGTGGAAGGCAAAGCCAAGTCTCACTTTTCTTTAGACTCTCCAGGACCCTATACAGAGCCTGGCTAAGGGTAGATGCTCAGTATTTCCTTTTAGAATGAATGAATGAAGGAATGAGAGTTGGACTTTATACAAGGCTATCCCCCAAGCCTCTCCACCAAGCATCCTGAAGATGCTGCTAACAGAGATGGCCCTTCCAAACAGAACTAGTCTGTGGTAGAACAAATGTGCAAGGAATCGTATAAAAATGCAAATAATTCAAATAGGTGGTGCAATTCAAGGAGTGTCACTTTATTTTTTTCTTGTTGCAAAGCAGGTTTAATTATAATTACAGTTTAAAAAAAGATTTTCAGTACTGTCTGCATCAGAGTGTCTCAGGCATAAAAGAAGACGTTTTGGAGAATAATCCAGGGGAGATGGTTATTTTTCCTACAGGGATAGAGTGGGAACAACCTTCCTTGACCATCAGCTCAGTTCCTTGCTTGTGACTCTTTTCCCAGCAAGGTCGGGGGTCAGGGATGTTGGGGAAGGTACCGGGAGCCACACAAGCTCCTCTCAGATCCACTCGCCCTCCTCGTACCTCCCAGCTCCCAGGACCTGCCTGAGCAGTGAGAGGTCCGGGTGCCCCAGTCAGTGGGATTCTCTGCCAGCCTCCCCATCACAAACCCCAGCGCCACCATTGCCTTCTGCTATGTGAGGACAAAGAAAACGGACTCCTAACAAGAGGCTCCATTCCCTGAGCAGCCCTCCCCCTCCCTCATTTTACAGACTGGGAATCTGGGCCTCAGAGAGCTAACGCCCCGCCCAAGACCTCACAGCAGGGGGGGGGGGGGGGGGTGGAGGGGTTGGGGGGGGTTGGAGGGTGGTGGGTGGGAGCTCAGGTCTCTGAGCGGAACACCAGAAACACTGCCGCCCCTCAGGACAGTTTAGATTGTGATTCAAGAGGGGTTTAAGGTGGTGTGATCTTTCCTGGACTTAGTCCCTGGTGGTGTCCTTTCCCCCAGGTCCTGGGGTGCTGTCTTGCCTGGTGTATGGAGCACTGGACTGAGAACCTGCCGGCCCCGCTCCGAATGGCTCTGTGACCCTGGTGAAGTCACCGTCTCCTCTCATCCTCACTTTCCTCCTCTGTAGGTAAGGGTTGGGCTGGATGCCTCCGTGTGAAATTCTCAGAGTAATTTCTCTGATCCACAAGTGTCCACCAGCACCCAGCAGGGGGCCCTGCCATCTCCCCAGCCAGAGTCTGCACAGGGACAGTTCTCGCATTTGTTCTCACAGCAGCCCTGCGGGACGGGCTCTCCTCTCCCTACCTTGCAGGCAAGGGCAGGCTACAGAGGTTGGGGGTAGTCAGCCTGTCCGAGGCCACTCAGCTTGAGAATGGCACCTGGGGTGGGCCTCAGGAGGGGTATAAGGATGGAAGCACGGGAGCATTTGGAGCATAGGGGCAGCCTGGCCCGCAGGAGTCCCGAAGGGAACATGATCAGACAGCAGGTGACAGGTCGCAGGCCTGGGCTGAGGGGAGGGAGCACCGATCTGAGCCCAACAGGCCTGGCCTCCAGTCCAGGCCCTGGTGCCCCTTAGCTGTGTGACACCTGGAGAAACCACTGTGTGTCTCTGAGCCTCAGTTTTCCTCGTCCTTAACATAGGGATAACAACCTCTCCTCGGCCCAACTCACAGGCTTCTTGAAAAGGCCAAATGAGAAAACGGGTCTGAAAGTTGCTGCTTAAAATTTGCAAAAGCCTCAGCCTCACTGCTTACTAGTTCTGTGGCCCCTTGAGCCTCAGTTTCTCCACCTGTGAAATCAGAATCCCCACCCCTGCCCCTGTGTGTGTGTGTGTAGGGGGGGAGGTGACAATGTCTGAGGAATCAGTCCCTGGCTGGCGCTCTGTCAACATTAGCCATTGTTATCATGAACACACACCGTGAAGGTCTGTGTACAGGTCGCAAATTGTTCTCCACATTTCTGGAGGGCTGTTTCCAGGGAGATGCTTTCTCTTCCTAACAGGGCCTCTGTCACGTCAAACCTCTTCTTAGGTTTCTCGCCCCACCAAGCCACTCAGCAAAGAGAAATTTCTAGAGGCCAGAAGGCTCATTTTTCTCTTCTCCTCCAGACCTGGGGATTTGTCTCTCCACCATGACAGGCCTGGCCGACAACCTGTCTTACCCACATTTCTAGAACCTTCCAACCAGTCTCATCGCCACAGCCTTACGGCAGTAGCCTGGATCCTGAGAATGAACACGTTGCCTCCCCCCTGGGCCAGGTGACGTGTGTCTGGGGTGTGTTCAACAGAAGCCATGCCCAGGAGGGATGGGTTTTCAGCAAAAAGCATAAAGGCTCTGAGTCCTCGATGCTCCCTGCCAACCACAGGCCCTTTTCCGGGTGCTTCTTTCCAGCACCAACTAGAAAACAGGGCTGGCACTGGTTCCTCTCAGAGGCAAAGGTGTGACTGAAAACAGGTTGGGTCTGTTCCCAACAGCTCACCACAGTTTACTGAGAGCATGTTTGTGTCACACTGAATGTTCTGGGATTGTTTCCTCACAAAGCATCACACCCATTTGAGAGGCAGGAAACTGAGACTCAGTGAGCGGAGGGAGGGGGGAGGAAGGGGGAAGGAGGAGTTAGGCAGAGGTCCTCAGCCCTGGCTGTTCATCAGACTCACCTGGAGAGCTGGAACAACCACCCCTGCTTGGCCCACCCTATGCCAACACAATCAGAACTTCTGAGGGTAGGGCCTGGGCATCAGCATTTTCAAGAGCCACAGAGAACCCTCTGCCTAAGAGCTGCCTTACTTACACTTAACCCTCACAGGCACATTGCCATGGGAGCATTAGTCCTGGGCTGGTGTTTGAACCAAGTCCGTGTGACCCCAGAGCCCAGGTTCAAACCACCAGAGGACCCAGCCTCCCAGAGCTCCACCCAGAAATCCAGGTGGCATGCTCTCCCCACATTCCACAGCAAACGATCCCCACGTAATCCCCACAGTTCCCACAGCCTCCTGTGATTTCGTTTTCCCATTTGGCATCTTGTTTTGATGTTCAGGGCATCAAGGGCCAATAGCTTCCCCCAAGCTATTTCTCCTCCGAAGCAGTGAAATAGCTTAGCAATTTGGAAGCCATTTAAAATGCATTGTTTTGCTGGGGGACGCTGTGGGGGGAAACCTGTCTTTCTTTTCTCCTAAAGCCTAGCACAGAATGTAGCAGGCTTTCAATGAGGATTTTTTTTTCCAGAGTCTTGTTAGTCATTAGGCCAGAAGCCCTTCCACTTGCTCTGTGCTCCGTGCAGCAGGCAGGGCAGCAGACGGACACACCGCGGACCATGCAGGTCACTGGGAGCACCGGCTCGGGGCTCGCAGAGGCTCCGCCACCTCCTTGGCTAGGCCCCGAACCTGGACATCCTCCTCTGGAAAATGGCACCACCACCAACTAGCCGACATGCATTCGGAGGATTGGGGAAGGGCAGCAATGAAAGGCCTGCACGTTGTTTATTCAAAAAATAGTGCTGTTATTATTGAACACGGAGGATGGTTATCACTTGACACCTGGCCTGATCTTTGGCTTCTGCGAGGCCAGGCCCTTCAATCAGGCCTGCAATGTGTAGAGGAACCACTCAGCAGTTAGGACGGGCCTGGGTCGTCTAAGAAAGTCTTTTCTCCACACGGCTTGGCCTCTAATACACAATCTATGAGGGATCAGGCTCAGAAAACAGAAAATGCAAAAAGTGTCGATGCCCAGGTCCCACTCCAGTAGTTCTGGCTCCATTGGCCCAGGGGCAACTCAGCCAGGCCCAGACAGGGCTATTTGCTAAAGCTCCCCAGGGGTTTCCGGTGGGCAGCCAGGGCTGAGAACCTGTGCTCAGCTCTTCCCTTCACCCTCCCCTTCTCAGAGCCTCGGTTTCCTCTCTCAAGTGGTGACGGTACAGGAGGAGACAATCTCTACTGTTCAGAATGACACAAACGTGCTCTCAGTAAACCAGGGTGAGTTGGCGGGAACAGACCCAGACCATTTGCAGTCACACCCATGCCTCCTGGAGGAACCTCTGCCAGGCCTGTTTATAGCCCTGCTTCCATGCATTTGACTGACAAGTATTTACTGGGCAGCAGCCCTTGGGTCAGGCACTGAGCAGGATGCAGGGAGAAAGTGGGGGGTGGACAGCGGCACTGTCCTGCCCTCAGGGAGCTGCCGTCCTGAGCGGAGGGGTTGGGGGGAGCTTGTTGAAGGAGCACAGGTACCATGAGGAGGAAGAAGCAGGGGCTGACCTGGTCAGGGAATCAGAGCATCCCTCTGAGGAAGTGACAGTGAACTGACACCTGAAAGATGTCGACCAGGAGGCAGCCAGGAGAAGAGGGGACAGAGTCTGGAGGAGTCCCTGACACTAGATGGGGCTTAGCTGGTTATAAGGACTGAAAGACCACCAGTGTGTGAGGAACAAAGAGAGGCAGGGAAGAACAGGTCAGGGTGAGAGCAGAGAGGCAGGTGGTGGTCAGAGAGTCAGGATACAAACATTCACAGAGAGGCAGAACACTGTGGCCTTGGCATCTAGGAGCATGGCCACTGGAGTTCCAGGGTTCAAACCCTGCCTCAGCCACTTACAAGCTCTGTGACTTTAGGCTTCAGAATGCTTTAGTCCCTGTGCTTCAGTGTCCCCATCTCTAAACTGGAGATGATGATAACGCTACCTACCTCCAGGAGTTTTTGTGAAGATTAAATTAAATTAGTTAATTCACATAAACCACTCAGAAGAGTGCCTGGAACACGTTAAGTAGTATATAGACATTTGCTGTCACTGTTATTACGTGCTGGGCATTAGTTCAGCCTCCTCATCTGCACAATAGGAATAAGACTGCATCCAACTTGGAAGATGATGGTGAAGGGTAGATGAGAAGCACAGGTGGGATACTTACAACACTACCTGATAGGCGGGAAACAGGCAAAACAAGTTTACCGTCACCATGGTTTTATCTTTAATCCTTTGCAGGTGAGGCAGAGGATACGGCACTTCTTGGAACAAATTTGCAAACAACTAGCTATCCAGAAGTGGGAGGGGGTCTGTCAGGGAAGCACCCCCTCATTGCAGGTATGCAAGCGCAGGGCTGGACAGGGCACTCAAGCAGGGCAGCCGGATGAGGGGCCCTCGCAGTCTCAGAATCCATGATTCTACCTGTCTCTACCCTCTATTTCTGCCCATCTCTATAAATGTTCATAAACACGTCCTGGAGGCTCTCCCCCAGACAGTATTCCTCTCCTGCCTGTTCTCCTGCTGGAGCAAAGAGGTATCAAAGCAAGATAGCTCCTGTGCCCCAGGAGCTGACAATGCCTGTAAAGAGCATGTCATTCAAGGGCATACAGCAGTCCCCTCAGGTTGGCGCCCCAGCCTTCCCGCCCTCACAGAATAAGGAGCACCAGCGGCCCCACCGCATCAGTCAAGGTCACAGTGAAGCTGACGACCAACTTTCCAGGGAGGCACCTCTGAAGAAAAAGACTGAGATCCAGCTCAGGACCCCCAGGGTCTCCGGAAGCATCCAGCTGCTCCTCTCTTCCTCTGTCCTTGGGTGCAGTTAATCGGGGCCCTCTAAAAATAGCAGTGGTGATTCAGGGAAATACACGGTGCTCTATCTCTGGGGATGCCGGCACAGGCCTCCTTCAAAAATAGAACCTCAATCAGGTGCGCTTCCTAACTCCTTGTCTCTCTGTCTAGTCCCAAAATTCTTCCGAAGGATCCAGAGACAGGGCAGCATCTCCAAATGCTGGGAGAGCTAGAGCAGGGGTTCTCGCTTGGGTTTGTCTCCTTCCAAATCCCTTGTCTGTTGGTTTCCACTTAAAAAAATCCATTTTCCTTTGATTTAAAAAGTAAAATATATTTATTTTAGGTATTATAAAAAAACATCAAAAGGTATCTCACGTCTAGAAATAACCACTGTTTTGAGTTTATTCTTCCTCTCTCCTCCCCCCTCTATATATCACACCACACACACACACACACACACACACACACATGCACACTTATTTATAGAATTGGGATAGTGCATTTTATATATTTTTTTCACTGAATATCACATCAAAAGTATTTTGCTATGTCATTAAATATTCACCTACAACACAGTGTTTTAATGTGAGTACAGTACAGAGGTTTAGCACATAAGCTTTGCTTCAGAAAGATCTGGGTTTACGTCCTGGCTCTGTCACTTACAGGTGTTGTGGCCATGGGCAGTTACTCAAACTCTTTAAGCCTCAGTTTTCACATTTATGAAATGGGGCCAATGACAGTACCCATCTCAGGTTGTTAGGAAGATAAAGTACGGTACTTTCCTGATTACTGCTCAGTAAATGCCTGTAGTAATAATAATAACAGCAGCAATAATAAACGCTATTGAACTATAATTAAGTTCAACTGTAATGAAGATTCTCCGGTTGATCGATATTTAGCTTGTTTCCGAAGCCCATGTTCTCCCACCACTCCGCCCATGTCTGGGAAGTTCTGGAATTCAGAGAGCGGGCTATGATGGCAGCACCCTGGTTGCAGACCCTGCGGATTAGCAGTACATTCGCCGGTGAATGGAGAGTGGGGGGTGCAAGTTTGCCAAGCCTCGCACATGTGGGCTCCCACGGATCTGTCTCTCACCTCCCCCAGGAAGCCTCGCAGAGCGCTGGGATGCTGCAACAGGCCAGGCTCCCCTTAGACCCCCTCCTCTGGCGTGAGGTGAGGCCCTATGCCTCCAGCCTATAGTGATACTTGGACAAGGGGCCTCCTCCTCCAATTCTCAGCCAGATTCCATCCTGATCATCTTTATTCTCCAATTTTCTAGGAAGTTGAAACATCTTTTTTTTCCCTATTTGGCTCCTTTCACTGTGCCTGGAGGGATTACAAGCTGGACCCTGATGAAGAAACCAAGGCTCAGAAAGGTTAGGTGACTTCTCCATAGCCACACAGCTAGTCATTAATCAGGTTTCAATTAGAAGCTTATTGTGGGCTGAATTCTGTCCTCCCAAAATTCCTATGTTGAAGACCTACCTCCTGGTACCTCAGACTGTGACTATATTTGGAGACAGGGCCTTTAAAGAGGTGATTAAGGTAAAATGAGGTCACGTCATTGGCTTAGGGTGGGTTTTAATCCACTATGACCCATGTCCTTATAAGAAGAGGGGATTAGGACAACACAAACATAGGGACACCAAATGAGGACCTAGTGAGAAGGCGGCCATCTGTAAGCCGAAGAGAGAGGCCTCAGAAGAAACCAAACCTGCCAGCACCTTGGCCTTGGACTTGCAGCCTCCAGAACTGCATTTCTGTTGTTTAAGCCAGGCTGTGGCATTTTATCAAGCAGCCCTAGCAAACCAATACGAGTGCTCCAAAACAAAACTCTTAACAGTTCATAAAGTTACAAAGTAATTTCCTATTTTTTGATTCTTCTGATTTTACAGTGGCCCTGTGAGGTGGAAAGAATACTTTTACTCCCGTCTGGTTGGAGGGAATCAACGAGAGGCTGTACGTAAAGCGCTTGGCCCAGTGCCTGGCGAGAGGAGTATCTGTGCCCACCACGGATTCTAAGGGGGAGATTTATGAGGAGTGGGTAGACGCCAGGGGAGACAAGTTTCAAACTCCATCTAAGGAGGATCTGCCCAAGGGTGAAGGGCCACCCCAGGAGGGAGTGCTCCCATCATAGGACAGAGGGGAGGAGAAGTAGGATGCCCGCTGGGTACCGTGCCGCAGAGCAGTGGATCTCACTGTGATCACCAGAGCAGCAGCGGCAGCAGCACCCGGAGCTTATCAGAAATGCAAATTCTGGTGCTTCACCCCAGACCGACTGAATCAGAAATGCGAGGAGGCTCAGCAATCTGTGTTTTTTATAAGCCCTGCAGGGGATTCTGGCGCACACTGAAGTTTGAGAACCAGTGGGCTAGAGGAGACAGGAACTGGACAGGCAGATTGGAAAGGATGGGATGACCTCTAACAGTCCTCAGAGCCAGAGACACTGAGATTCAGGAGGATGCTGACCTCTCCCTCTTTTCCCCTTGTCTTTCAGAGGCCACAGCCATACAATTTCAGCCGAAACAATGAGTTGACTTGTGTCCTGTGGCATCAGCTGACTCCTCATCCATGATGTTGGAAGAAGGCCAGCTGGAATCCCATCACAGCTAGTGTCTCCCTCCAGAACATGCCATAGCTGCCACATCAGTGCTGAAAGGGGCCTTGGGGATTTAGCACCAGAGCAAATCTGGCCCAGAGATGGCAAGGGTCACCCAAGGTCACACATCAGAGTGATGCAGGCCAAGCCTTCCAGGCTTACTCCTCATCACTGTGTGGCCATACTTGGTGCCCATGTGGGACATGGGAATCCAGCAAAACCACTTGGGCAACTTCTATTTTCATCCCACCTTTCTCTGGCTCAGCTGGCACATGGATGCCTTTCAATTCTGGGCTGATCATTCTTGACAGAATGTTTCAAAGTCAAGGCAGGGGCAGGAGAGGACAAAGCTGTTGCTCCAGGCACAAACACAGCCTCTGAACTTGGTGCCTGTCATTGTAATTTCTGTGCACACTGGGGGATTATTCTGCCTTGAAATACTTCTACCATGGGCATTACAAGTGACTCATAGTCTGGTAGCCTCAACACTCAAGAGTCACCCAGGAGAGACACCCATCAGACCTGGTTTAATCAGTCCTAGTAGGAAGTATGTTTGAAGGACAGGCTCTATTATGCCCCACACAGCTTTGCGAACTTAGGGAATAAGGCCATGCTACAGAAGGTCTGTAGGAAGGAGCTTTCCTTCTAACTGGTGCAGCAGAGCCCATCACAGGGTTCAAGAACATGAGCAACTCCAGAAGCAGGACACTGGACAACACAGAGACTATGAGCTTAGCTGGAAGATGGCAGCTGGGAAGTTTGGACTTGGCTACTTGCTGTCCTATAATCTTGTGGGTAGGGCCAAAAATTTGCATTTCTAATAGCAATATGGATGCTGGTGGTCCAGGGACCACACTTTGAGAACCACAGGCAATAGTAACCTGCCTTGTCTTCCTCATGGGGTTCTAGTGATGGCTCGTTTGGAAGACCTGTGTGCTAGTGCAGTTCTGCCATTTGGTGTGTAGGAGCCTCGGATCATCACTTACCATCTCTGAGTCTCAGGTTTCCTATCTGCAAAATGAGAATAACAAATACTGTTTGTATTGCAGAATGGTGAGAGTCAAAGAGAGAAACAAATAAGGCAAAAGAATTTTAAAAATTGTAGAGACTATTCAAATGTAAAGAGGAGCAAACATTTTTGGGGCTCCTCCGTGAGTCAGAAGCTCTGTTAGATGTCAGGATATGAACTTGAATAAACCAGAATTCCTGACCTTAGAGAATCCAGGGGGGACTGGGGAAGGCAGATAAATGGACCACTGATATAGCCTGTGCTCCAGCAGAGCAGCACAGTAAGCTGCAGAAGGATGGAGAAGAGGTGGGGCAAGTGGCTTAAACTGGACTTTATCCTCAGGACAAAGGGAAACCTTTGTAGAGTTTTAAGGTGGAAAGTGACTGATCTTATTTGTTTTATGGGAAGATCATTGTGGGCTGGGAAATGGGTCATTGGGAGGGGCAAGGCTAGAGGCAGAGAGGCAGGGAGTCAGCAAAGAGGCTGCTGCAGTGATCCAGGGGTGAGATAATGGAGAGAAGTGGATGCATTTGAGAGATAAGATGTGTGGAACAAAGGCGGCAGCAGAACCAAGATGGCGCCGGGTTTCTTGTTCACAGACTAAGATAGGGAGGACCGGGAAGTGGGTTGGGGTGGAGATGAGGAGCCAGTACCTGGCCATGGCACTGCCATGAATAGATACCTTAGCCCGTGAGCCACTGCCACTCTGACTGCCAGGTCTCCCCCACTGTGAGGGACTTTCTCCTGTCTTCCCTCCCCACGTCCTGGCATTACTGAGCTCTGCTGTTCCCTGCCGCTGCAACGTGCAGCTGTGTCCTTCCCATCCACAGAGTCATCTCCAAAATGAACAACAAAAGCGATCAGCAAGCAATCATCTTTCTTTTCCCCTATACAATGCCTGGGTATGCAGATAATGTTTGTGATTGTTGCAGAAACGATGGCATGAAAATTGGGGCTCCTGCCAAAAAAAGGAGGAAAAAAACCTATTTAAATAAACTCAAGTGGTTCAGACCCAGTTTGAGGCCTCCTAAACTGGGGCCCGATAAGGTTCTCGTCCCTCTGCCCTCCATGAGGTGGCGAGGTGCTTTGTAGGACCCTGGCAGGTTGGGACAGCCCACAGTGGCAGCCCCTGGAGGCTCAGGGAATGACCTCAGGGAAGTGTTCTGGCATCTGCTGTGAGCTTTGGGCATTAATGAAGGGCAGTTTTCTGGGCCTTCCACTCACAGCTTAGCTCCCAGCCAGCTGAGAGGAGGTGCTCACTGAGGTTCTGGGTGACTTTGAGACCATCCCAGGCAGAAAGGCCGTGGACTAGAGGAGGCCCATAATGATAAGCTGTCACTGTTGCTTTGTTTCAAGGAAAGCTGCCTGCATCCCACACTGTGCTATGAAGTTTACAGCCTATTGTTTTATTTAATCCATCCTCACAATTGTCCTGAAAAGTGGGCATTACTAATCCCATTTTACAGAGAAAGAAAATGGAGGGAAACGTTGATTATGATTTCACAGCTAGTAAACAGCAAAACTGGGATTCTAGCCTGGGTTGCTGGATTCAAAAAAGCCCGTGATTGCACTCTATTCAAAAAGGCAGATAATAATAAGTATTGACAAAGAGGTGGAGAAATTGGAGCTCTCAAACACTGCCAGTGGGAATGTAAGATGCTACAGGCCCTTGAAAACAGTCTTGGCAGTTCGTCAAATGGTTAAACAGAGTTACCATACGATCCAGCAACTCCTCACCTGTGTATATTCCCAAGAGAAATGAAAAGATATATCCACACGAAAATTAGTGCTTCAACGTTCAGAGGAGCATTATTCATAGTAGTAAAAATGTGAAAACCCAAATGTCCATCAACTAATGAATGGATAAATAAAATGTGGTATTCTCAATAGAATATTATTTGGCAATAAAAAGAAGTGAAATACTGATCCGTGCTACAACATGCATAAACTTTGACAACTTTATGCTAAGTGAGTAAAGCTAGTTACAAAAGACCACATATTGTATGATTCCATTTACACGAATGTCTAGACGAGGAAAATCCATAGAGACAGAAGGTAGATTACTGGTTGCCTAAGGCTGGGGTGCTGGGGAGAAATCTAGAGTGACAGTAACGGGTATGGCTATTTTGGGGGGGATGATGAAAATGGTCTGAAATTGATTGTAGTGATGGTTGCACAATTCTGTGAATAGACTAAAAAGCATTGAATCCTACACTTAAAATGGGTGAGTTGTATATGAAATGTGAATTATATCTCAAGAAAGATGTCATTTTTTAAAAGCCCCTGACTGAACATTTAAAAAGAAAGAAAGGAGGAAAAAGAAAATAACCATGATCTTCCCAAGTGAAAGCATCTAGAGTTATTATTTTCAATCATTCAACAAATCTTGAACCCCTGTTATGTGCTATGCACATTCCTCTGGGAGCTTGTGAGTAGGAGATCCTAGTCTGGGTGGAAGAGGCAGGATGTGGGCACAGATAATCATGATTCATGGAAGAAGCAGCCAAGGGAATGTAAACAGGAGGATACTATTTCACACTCACTGGGTTGACAAAAATTTAAAAGTCTGACATTATGGCATTGGCAAAGATGCAGAGCCCCAGAGAGTCTGATATACTGCATGAGAGAGAATAAATAGGTATAATTTGGGAAGAAGTTTGGCAGTGTTTAGTAGAACTAAAGATGCACATGCCCTATGACCCGGCCATTCCGTGTGTCCCTAGGGTATAACTTGGATAAACTCATGTACATGTGCACAAGGCAACATGAGCAAGGACATCCACAGCAGCACAGTTTACACCAAAGACTGGAAACAACTAAGTCCCTCAGCAAGAGAAAGAGTAAATAGACTCTGCCATAGTCACACAATGAGTGATACACGGTGGCAAAATCCAACAAAATCCAACGGTATTAAAATACTATACAAAGGATAGTAAAAAATAAAGTATATAAAGTTTAAAAACATATCAAACAATACTATCCATTACTTATGCATACATACATATGTAGTACAAGCATAAGAACAGGTGCGGGAATGATCAATGCCAAATTCCCAATACTGGTTGCTTCTTAGGAAGCAGAGGGATGAGACTAGGGGCCACACCAGGGTCTTCAATTGTGTCTATAATGCCTCTTCTTAGAAGTGACTTGCAATATACTTTTTCAATTGAAATTTGTATTGAGATAATGGTAGATTCACATGCAGTTGTAAGAAATAATGCAGAGAGATCCCCTATATGCTTTACCCAGTTTCTAGAATGGTAACATTTTGCAAAAGTATAATATACTGTCACAACCAGGATATTGATACTGACACCAGTATCCACCAGTCTTACTCAGATTTCCCCAGTTCTGCTTGTATTCATTCGTGGATGCGTGTGTTGAGTTCTACACAGTTTTGCCACCTGTAAAGATCTGTGTATCCACCATCACAGTGAAGCCACTGAGAGAATGCCTTCTCTGCAAGAATGGCTTGTGTTGCCCTTTCATAACCATGCCTGCTCCCCTCCACCCCTAGCCCTGTTCCTAAACCCAGTCAACTACTACCCTGACCTCCACATTTAAATTTCTGTCATTTGGAAAATGTTCTATCAATAGAATTGTATAGAATGTAATCTTTTGGGATTGGCTGTTTCTTTTTTTGCACAGAATAATTCCCTGGAGATTCATCCAAGTTGTTGTGGGTATCAGCAGTTCATCCCTTTTCATGGCAGAGTAGTATTCCATGGTATGAATGTACCAGAGTTTGTTTCATCATTCACTTTTTGAAATACATCTGGACCAATTCCTGTTTTGGGCTATTAGAATATCCACAATATTTTAACTCTTCAATTGGGTGGTGGGTATTTGGATTTTTATTGTATTATTTATTCTACTTTTTGATGCAAAGAATATTTCATAATTAATAAAAAGGAAGGAAGGAAGGAAGAAAGAGATACCAGTAATGCTGGTCCAGCCTTGTGCAGCCCCTGTGCTAAAGAGAGGGCTGTCAGAATCCGGGGTGACAACTGAGGCCAAGGGTCTGGGCCCCTGGCAGTTCTGGTGTTCAGGAAGCAGATCTCAGACACCTACTTGCTTCGAGGTCCTAAGTCTTGTGGGCACAAGGAAGCCTGTCCAAGTCCTTCAGCCTGGGCAGAGGTGGGGCAGGGGTGGGGAGAGGGGGTAAGTGTCAGAGGAATCCCCCCATCTGGTTGCAGAGCCCTTTCTCCGGCCTGGGTGTGTGGATGGGCTGCCCTCAAACGGGAAGATCACAAACAAGGCAGAAGAAAAGAGGTTAGTGCTCAAGGTAGAAGAATGAAATCTGGCATCTCCCGAAGGCCCCTGAGAAAAGTCCAGAATTGCAGCAAAGTGGCTGCCTGAACGGTACTAGAATGGAGAATGCCATTGGAAGGAAACAGAAACCCTGGGAACTTTCTTGCGACTTGAGGTTAAAGCGGTTTGGGAGATTTGTTTCCAGGGGGTGGAGAAGGAGGCCCTGCTGCTCTCTGTTTCTGCCAGGTGCAGGAGAGACAGGGGTAGGCCTGGCTTCCAGGGAGCCTCCCACACCCCTGCCCAGGTAGCTTCCGCCTTCTTTGCCTAAATCCCTGCAAACATCAATTATAAATTTCTTAGGCCCGGGCCGAGTGTGGGGCAGTGACAGATTCTTGCTACAAACATCCCCTAGGGGCTGCCTGGTGCTCAGACATCCTCCCCTCAAGAGGCCCCAGGTGGGACATTCAGAAAATCACCTTCCAGGTGGTCTGGGAGAACGAAGAGGATTTTGACAGGTTCAAACTATCCAAAGGGCTCCCCACTCCGAGGGAGAGCATTTGTAAAGGCCCAGGGGCCTGGAAATGCTATGATCACAGCTACTACCCTTGCTGCTAATAATAATAACACCATGACTTACACTGATGGAGAGCGCTCACTCAGGGCCAGGTGTGGTGCCAAGAGCTTGCGGTGTATCATCTCACTTGATCCTAACGACAGCAAATGATTGTCATGTCCCTTCTCCACACGAAGTTACAGAGGCACAGGGTGTTAAGAAACTTGCTCCGTGACACACCTTGGAAGTAGGAGAGTCAGGATTTGAACCCAGAGCCTGAGCTCCTTGCTGTTTAGGACAGACTCTTCTGAGGACAGGGATGATACACAGCCTTCTATGATACAATGAGAAGTCTGGGCTGCCTCTGCAGGGCAAGAGCAAGTCACAGAATCACAAGTAAGCACACCCCTGTTTCAGGGACGCTATCTTGGAGGCCGTCTGGAGTTCCCTCCTCAACGTCTCTGAAGGCCCAACTCCTTTGTTGTATGCTTTTCTTCTGAACTTCCTCCTTATTTCACATGTTAACATCTCAGCGAACTACTCTGAAGCTTGTTCTGGAGGATCAGGCAGCACCCTTTCCATAACTGCAGACACTGGTGAGGTTGCTAAACCAGCACAGGAAGCCTCGTCTCTGCAGAGTGTTCCAGACCACGAAACTCCTCATGGCCCACCTCTGCTCCATCTCCGCACTCTGACCCTCCCCTGGGCATGGCTGGATCAGAACCCACCCCGTGGCCTCCAGGACAAGACACAAGCACCACGAAGCCTAAGGGCCAGTAGTTCTCTGAAACCTGGATGCTGTGTTCTTTGCGGTTCCCCAGATTTTTCCCACTGCTCTGGGCCCATGAGGCTGTCCAGGGCCCCTCTCCACTCTCTGAGACATCCCCACACAATGGAGGGGGAGAAGGTGGCCTTTGTAGTCAGTGGGTTCTAGGTTCAAGATCTGCCACCTGCCACCTGTGTGAGCTACAGAAAGCTCTCCGGCTCCTTGGGCCTAGGTTGCGAGGAGGTTGGGTGAAAAGACCTCAAAGGTTCCTCCAGCCTTGCAACTCCTCCTGGAGAACCCGCAGTGCCCAGGCCGAGCAGACGCTCATCTCTGAGATGGTAACAACTCCCACTGCTGCAACGGGCCGTTGTGAAGATCAACGAGAGAACACACAGGAAAACACTGGCCAACCGCAACATGCTTTACAGGGCGAGAGCTTCTGTTATTACGTTATAACCTAGTTTCTCTGCAGTGCCTCCCGACTCCCTGTCTTGTTGTGTGCGTGTGTTTCCTTTGGTGGCTGGGAGAAGAGTGAGAAGCGGGCATGGGAGGCTGGGGGACGGGGAGAGAGCTGCAGGGCATTTCTCAGCCCACGTTTGGATGTGCTGGCCCGCGCCCTGACACGTTCTGAGCAGGGATAATGAACTGGCTCAGACACTGCTCATCGCCGCAGACAGGCCTCGCGGGGGAAACAGCAGGAGTCAGAAAGGAGGCCCCTCTGCCGGCTGGCAGAGCCCGGCGCCCTCCCCCGCCTGCAGGCTGGGGCACTGCCTCCTGCGTGTCAGAGATATGGAGACAGGTGACCCAGCAGTCACATCTAACTTGGACAGGCCAAGACAGGAGTCGGGTGGCAGCAGGGCTGGGAGGACGGCTCTGACAGGGTCAGGAAGAGGGGGACAGCCATGCTCGCTGCTGGAAAAGAAGGCTTTTATTGGGATTCAGAATTGAACCAGCTTCAGACCTTGCCCTCGGGAAGATCCCGTAAGGTAGGAGTAGAGCTGAGCCTGGGGTTGGAAGTTGGGCAGGGTGAGCCGCTGCCATCTCTGCCTCTGCCACTGAGTCTCTTGGACAATGCCCTCACTTCTCTCGGCCTCGGTTTCCTCATCTATAAAATGGGGACGATAATTACAATAATAGTTGAGTTGCTGTTAATAAGTGAGACAGCACAGTAATTGTAATGCATTATTTAATAATAATGTTAGTTATAATTATTAGGGGGAAGAAAGTTAATTAATCATTCAACACACATGTCATGAGCCTGTTCCGTGCCAGGCATCATTCAGGAATTCTCACCTGTGCAGGCCTCACGGGGCACTAGTGTGGATGTTGACAGAGGGAAGTATGGAGTTTTGGGGAGACAAAGAAGGGCCACCCACCTTCCTTTCACAACTCTCCCTACGTCCTCCCCACCTCCACAGGTTACTCCTTTCTGTTCACACCCCACCTGCCTGGTCCTGGGTCAACAGTTTCTTCCTTAAATGATGGTGCCGAGGGCAGGAGCTTGAGTCGAGCCCCCAAATTAACTAGCAACCCCTGGGAAAATCCCAAACTCTCTCCCCAGAAAAGACAATCACTAAGAAGCTTTTTCTAAATTATTTTTCTTTCTTTCTTTCTTTCTTTTTTTTTTGGTGAGGAAAATTGCCCCTGAACTAACATCCATGCCATTCTTCCTCTGTTTTGTATATGGGATGCCACCATAGCATGGCTTGATGAGTGGTGTGTAGATCTCTGCCCAGGATCCAAACCCGTGAACCCCAGGCCACTGAAGCAGAGCATGCAAACTTAACCGCTACACCACTGGGCCAGCTCATCACTAAGAAGCTTTATCGCCACCTGGATGTCTCAGCTTCCCTGACATGAAGTGCTCCAAACAGACTGAATATGAACTGTGTGTCTGAAGGAAGAACCAGGAAATGTTGTCTTTGATAACTCAGATGGATCACCCAATCCCTTAGATAATTCCAGGAGCT